ACATCGTTGAAATTAGGCTTAACCTCATATCAAGTCAAAGCACCTGTCTTCGTACGATCACTGAAGTGAAGCAACGTCAACCTTGGTCAGTACTTTGATGGGTGACCGTAAACATGAATGTGTTCATAGTGCACAAGATAAAGGTTCAGAATTGAAAATCGCAGTACAGAGTTTGGATTCTAATCGCGTTCGCTATATTCACTGAGTGCAAATACCCTTGGGAAAAGGTATGAATCCACTTCTCCTTCCTTGTTCTGTGTATGACGATAAACTACACCTGGCAGCACGGACTCTGAGGTTTTTAGGACCGTGGAACCACCGCTTAATTACTGTTGTTCCCAGGTCTACCCTGACTAGGAGTGGTAGCAACTGTGAGGGTCCCAGCAATGGGCAAAAAGTTAACCACCAAACTGCGGTCATATCACCATGAAAATGTAAAAATAATTATTTTTATAATGAAAATACCAGAAATATATATTTGAAAAATAATATTACCACCAAAGGATTCGACATTCAGCAAAACCCTCTTTACAAACACTGGCCAATAAAACCTGGTCTACAAACTGATTTCTTACAAAGAATTCATATTCTATACATACAAATCTATTATAAAAATCTTGTCAGTATTAGATAACCCATTGAGTTTGATATGTTGTAAAACGAAACAAACGAAACTAAACCTCTTATCCTCAAAGTTTATCAGTAAGCCATTATTATGTACAATATCTAAAAGAAAAATATGACTTTAAACAACCTGAAAAAGGCTGATAAGCCGTAAAAAATAAATCACCCAATCTAGTTTTATTACTTTCCAAACGAAACCGACTTTATAATTTTCTTCACTGTTGAGATTTTCCATCAACGGTTACCTAAAATGAAATTTTAATAAATTTTAATATGTTAACCCATAAACAGAATTAAGATATTTAAAAAAAAATAATAAGCTAATATCTGCTGGTTTAATATATTAAAATTTATAAACGATCCTCTTTTTGAGAGAGTTAATAAAAAATGGTGGCTACTTAGGAAGACTCGAAATTCCATGTTTCTTTTTCTAAATTTAATTTTAAATATTTAAATTTAATTTTAAATACTTAATTCTAATTTCAAATACTTTAATTTAATTTTAAATATTTAATTTTAATTTTTCAATATTTTAAATATTTAATTTTAATTTTTTTCAATATTTTTAAATATTTAAAATTTTGAAATATTTAATTTTTAAATATTTATTATTTTAAATATTTAATTTAATTTTTAAATATTTAAATTTAATTTTCTTTTTTAATTTAATTGCAACGTTCCTCCGTCTTTTTTGTTGTTTTTCACTCCAGCAGTCTGACGGAGTTTAATCGAAACACGAATTCACAGTGAATGACAAAGGCGAACAAAAGTGACAGAAAAACTTTACGGGACGATTTTGAAAACTAGTCACGTAGGCAAGCGTCGGCAGTGAATCGTGAAATTAAAAAATATCAAGCAGGTTTCTAACTTCATTCTTTAATAATTGGTTACCAAAAAAGAAATCATGTGGACAAATTTAGTTGATGGCTAACCAGAAAATCTTTATGTATCATCTTTCTTTTTATGTGCCATGTCCTTCCAGGACGTAGGCAATCATGGCTCTCCACCCCACCCTCTATCCCTTGCAGCTCTCAGCAAGGTCCTTCCCTCTGCTTCCTCCCACAGACCACGTTCTGTCATCCACTTGCTTATGTCCGCCAGGTATGTCAGGCATCGCTTTCCTTTGTTTCTCTTTCCCTCTATTTCACTTGTGAGTATCAGATTCTCCAGGCCCTCCTTCCTTATTATGTGTCACAGAAACTTCTTCTTCCTCTTCCTGGTATTAAGTATAAGCCTTCTGTTTGCATCGTCTCTAAGACCTCATCGCTGCTCACACGCTCGGTCAATGATATCCTTAGCATCCTTCTGTAGATCAATATCTCTGTCGCCTCGAGTCTCTTCTTAATCATTGAGGAAATCGTCCAACATTCTCTGCCGTAAAGAAGGACAGATGTCACGTAAAAGCTCAGCAATCTTTTCTTTGCTGCCAAAGAAATTCGTACTATCTCGCAATACAACAGGTCCCACGAAAACACGTCCCGTATCCTAAATTCTTTCTTTTTATGCGCGGCCTCCTTTTAGGACGTAGGCGATCATGGCTCTCCACCTCTCTCTATCCCATGGCAGCTCTCAACAATGTTCTTCCCATATGCTTCCTTCCCCAGACCAAGTTCTGTCATCCACTTGCTTAAGTCCGCCGGGTATGTCACGCATAGTTTTCCCTTGTCGCTCTTTCCCGCTATTCGACCCGTGAGTGTCAGATTCTCCATGCCCGCCTTCCTCCTTATGTGTCCCAGAAAGTTCCGCTGCCTCTTCCTGGTATAAGTATAAGCTTCCTCTTTGTTTGCATCGTCTCTAAGACCTCATCGTTGCTCACACGATCGGTCCATGATATCCTTAGCATCCATCTGTAGATCCACATCTCCGTCGCCTCTTCTTCATCTTTGAAGAAATCTATATTTATCATCATCGTTCAAAAAGGCGACAAAGCTTTGAGCCAAACTGGAGAAGAAGATGTAAGATGTAAAATTTCATGATCAGCTAAAAATTCTGAGGCAAAAGATTAGCCTCAAATCTGTATTAAAACTTTGAGTTTCGTAAACAGTGACAGTGTTACAAATGTGATTATGTCTTATTGTTCTCTGTTAAATCACATGTTTAAATTGTTTCACTTGATCCTATCGGAATCTCCAATTTGTAATTTACATTTTAGTCTGTCCTTTTTGCTAACAACCTTACATTCTGTCTTGAAATTGATGCCTGTAGAAGTTCTTGGATTTTCCTTTCTGTGTCTACCATCAACAATGTGTCATCTGAATATCTAATGTTGTGAAGATTGTGGCGGCAAATAAAGCATCCTGATAGCCCATCTAGTTCTTTCAGAATCACATCGCAGTATAAGTTGAATAGGTATATTATCATTATCTTACGGCCCTTCCTATGTATTTCGCCGATGACAAACTAGATTCCAAAGCATTTTCAGACAGTAAAACACAAAAGTATATGGAAGTTTTCAACTGAAAAATAAAGGTAGATTCCTTGTAGTAGATACTGTGACCACACGTCTCAGAAACAAACAATTCAAAACAGATGTTTCCTTTTATGCAATCACGAGATATCTCTATCTAACGCATTGACTCAATATTCAATATATATATATATATATATATATATATATATATATATATATATATATATATATATAAAATTATGAAACGGTCTAAAATAATATACATTCAATATCTCTGTCTATATTATATATATATCTCTCTATAATATATATATATATATATATTCAATATCACTCTCACATATATATAAATATATATATATATATATATATATATACAAAGAGAGAGAGAGAGAGAGAGAGAGAGAGAGAGAGATCCAAACAATTGCGTTTAGCAGGAAAAAGACTGTTGCATTTTAGGTGTTGAGTTCAGTGTCTATTTTATGTTAACATATGCTCTATCGCCGATATTGGGCACTTTAACTCATAAATATAGGATACGTTAAAACTATATTTAACCCCCATATATATATATATATATATATATATATATATATATATATATATATATATATATATATATATATATATATAATTAATTAAGGGGGTTGCAGTTAGGGGAGTTACTTGACCAGATGTAAGGGGTGATATGTTTGAAGAAATTGTCTGACAGCTATAACTTTCTTTTGAACTTGCCAGTTCAAAAAAAAAAAAAACATTTCGGTCACTAACACACTAAAAAGGGAATGTCTCATATCGAGAATATTTAACATAAGAAAAAATTAATTATTTTTAATAATATGTGGAAATATCCACGCTTTGCCTGATGAAGGTCGCGAGACCGGAAACTCGTGTAGAAAAGTCATGGAAAATAAAGCATAGTATTTTTTTTAAAAAAATCCACATTACAACCAAAATATAATATATATAACATATTTTTAATCTACTCATTTTCTCTCGGAACTACTATAACCTTTTATCTTTATATATATATATATATACACACATATATATATATATATATGAGTGTGTGTGTGTGAGTGTGCTTGTGTGTGTGAGTGTGTATATGTATGTTTGTATGTAAGTAAAATAGGATAAATAATAAATAGGAAACGTTTATACGTTTATATATTAAACATGTTTCGTTTTTATTAAAACTTCAGTAGTGAATGAGTTATGGATTTTTTGTCGCTTGATTTTCCTTGTTTTTGAGTGTATAAAATATATATATATATATATATATATATATATATATATATATATATATATATATTAAGTTATGAAGAACTTGGTAAACCGAATGGGTAATTCCAAGGAGGATGGAATCCTGAGAGCTCAATGTGACTACAGAGTTAATATTTAATGAAAAAACAGACCACTTTAAGGTACCATTACAATAATTTATTTCACCAAAATATATTTTTAAAAGAACTCCGGATCATCAGGTAACAATTCCAACCAAGGTTGGTATTGTTACCTGATGATCCGGAGTCCTTTTAAAAGGATTTTAGTGAAATAAATTATTGTAATGGTACCTTAAAGTGGTCTGTTTTTTTCATTAAATTTATATATATATATATATATATATATATATATATATATATATATATATATATTTATATCATTCTAATGTGTCTATACTCATTCTAATTATAGATTTACGCAGACTGAAACAGATAGATTTAGATAGATAGATAGATAGATAGATAGATAGATAGATAGATAGATAGATAGATAGATAGATCAATCAGCTGTCAGATTTATGTGCTTTAAACAAATGTTACTTTTTCGCAGGGATAGCTGAAGTTCTTAAATTTTTCATAGTTAATCGTAAGCCAAAACATTAATTGACCTATTTTTACATTAAAAGCCGTTCCTGAAACCAAGAGATATTCATTTGAATTTCTGATCATTGGTCAGTGGTCGTATGGTATTAAAGTTTGGTATAATATCGATTACGTGCTTATAGACTGTGATTGACTGGAATGTTTTTCGTCAGTGTTCTTGCATGATCGGATTCAAATCTGTTTAGGAAAAGGTTGTCTGTTTTTTTGATTTTTTTATTTAATCATTCGTTGAAAAAACGTTTCGAACATACGAAAAAAAAATTTTTTAACAAGAATTCCGGGTTTTTTAAATGAACTCGTATGAACACTTCGAGCACTTAACTGAGTAGGTAAAATTGATTTTAGGGCTTTTTTTTTCTCTTTATTTTTTCAATATTGCCGGGTTTATTAGAGAGTCTGTCTGGATAAGAATTTTAGGATTTGGCAAGTAGTCTGTCGGTTCCACCAACGATTTTTGTTCATATATATATATATATATATATATAGAGAGAGAGAGAGAGAGAGAGAAAGATAGAGATAGATACAGATATGTGTATGTGCGCGTGTATCGTATATATTTGGCAGCAGCATTACTTTTACATAGGTTTCATTGAATGTCACAGAGAAGAATAATACTAAAGGCATTTATTAAATTTTTCTTATGTTCTTACAATTTTGCTGCAGGGGGGTTAAGGAAGTGTAATAATTGATCTTGATGATTATTTTGTTAAGCGCTTTCGACGAATTCATTATTATTATTATTATTATTATTATTATTATTATTCGTTGAATCATAAGCAACGACTTAAAACACAAACACAGTACACTATATTGACAACGAACACCTTGAAAATGGCTGATAAATTGTCCGAAAGCGCTTAGGACAATAACCATTACGGACATTTTCTAAACAATCTTTCCCATGCAGCAAGCAAAACTATAAGAACATTAGAAAAACGTAATGATTTGTCGTTGTCTGTCACATACACTGATACGTATATATATATATATATATATATATATATATATATATATATATATATATATAGATATAGAGAGAGAGAGAGAGAGAGAGAGAGCGATGGAGAGAGAGAGATATAATAAAATTAAAAAAACACTATTTAAATATTTATTCTATGTAAATTTTATTGTTTCTCCATATATATATATATATATATATATATATATATATATATATATATATATATGTGTGTATGTATAAGTGCGCAGGTATGCAGAAAATAAAAAAGAACACGTTGGGTGTATAATCCGGAGTTCCTTAGCATTTTTGTTTTTATTTTTAAGAAATACAGAAGTAGAGCTTTATTATAATATTTTTTTTTTTAAAATATGATTCCTTCGCTACATAAGAGTTCTCATGTTTTTTCAAAAACGATAGCCAGCCATCCAAATAATTATTAAAATTAAGTTGAATTGAGGTGTTTAGTCCTGTTTCATCTTCAAGCGAAATTTTAGGAATAAGCCAATTATTTGGATGGCATCGGGTCTCGTATTTGAAACATGAGAACTCTTATGTAGCGAAGGAATCATATTTTTAAACAAAAAAATATTATATATATATATATATATAAAACGAACATATATATATATATATATATATATATATATATATATATATATATATATCAGAGGAGGCACGGCGGAGTAATGGATAGCGGCTTGGATTGAGGAATCGCAGTCGAATCCAAGACATTCCATTTACTTACGTGCTAATACCCTTGGGAAAGGCATGAATCCTCTTCTTCTCCCTACAGCTATGGGTAAAATAGCAGGACAGACTGGGTTCTATAGCCTTGGATGGCAACTGGTCTAGGAGAAGGACAACTCTGAATTCAAAACCTGCGGAGGGTCGTTTGTGAACCTTGTGGCACTTAGTGCACCAGATCACTGTATTCGTTCCTTTAAAAAGTGAGGATGGTCCTGCACGAAACGTTTACCACTATAATCAAATTTAATGTGCCGATGTCGGTTTCCTGGAAACTGATCTGCTTGACCTTCATACATCGAAGTCGACGGGAGAGTTGATTATATATATATATATATATATATATATATATATATATAGAAAGAGAGAGAGAGAGAGAGAATTTGGAAAAAATAATAATATATGTAATATTTAGAATACATATATATTTGCAGAGAATTATTAAAATTATTTTTCCTTATATGTCAGTTTTCAGAAAAAAATATTTTACTTCAACTCAATTTTACTTTGCACAATTCATTACATATACCAGAGGCACGTCCCTTAAAACAGATTTTATCATATTTCTTTACTATAAGAGACATGTAAAACCAACTACGTCCTTTGATTTTTTTCTTAAAAACATAATGTGTTCTTCATAATCGTATTATTTTCTCTATACAGCAAGATTTTGTACAGAATTTTCGAATAATTTCTCTTTTACCTATATATATATATATATATATATATATGTGTGTGTGTGTGTGTGTGTGTGTGTGTGTGTGTGTGTGTGTGTGTGTGTGTGTGTGTGTGTGTGTGTGTGTGTGTGTGTGTTTCACACTTCTATTTCCTTAAAAGTGACACTTCCAAAGTAATATCAAACATCTAAAAATTGCCTATTAGTGTTCCTGGTTATGCAGAGCAAATATTAATATCCATCATTTTAAACCAACATGGCGCCTGAGTAACATGATGAAGCGTCCATAAAAACAAACATTGACAGGTACTAAAAAGGAATGAACTGATTTTCGAAAAAAAAAAATGATGAATCAGAATAAAGTGGGCACTTAAACGGATAGCAAATTCTTAACTTCCCACCAAGCAGGAATTAAATTGCGATACGACCACATACATATATATTTCTCAACGTATTTATCTACATTTTTATATAATCGTATCAATCTGTCTGACTATGTCTTTTAATTCAGATGTACCTACCGAAGCGACACAGTTGAAAAAACATACTGCGAGTCTGTACATGACTTGTAAGCGAATGTGTGCAGATAAAGATCTTCAGAAGCCGTCGATTGATGTGCTCGCACGAATCTCAAATAATAATCTTGGAGGGCTTAAAGAACTGGCCTTGTCAAACTGCTGATCACACCATATAATGCGTTTTCTCCAGATAAATTCAACTAAGTTTCGCTGCTTGTAGCATCAGTTAAATGTACGGGCTGGCTTAATATCTATCTATCTATCTATCTATCTATCTATCTATCTATCTATCTATCTATCTGTTATGATCCGGTTCCTTGTACAAAGGTGATAGTCCAAGGTAGAACCAATAAAGAAGAATTCGAACACGGGTATGGAATAACACAGATATATTACAAACAGGAATATATACAGAGAAGTAGAAAGTGTTAGTACGAACAATCAGGTTTAGTAGGGAGAACAATGTAGTCTCGACTAGTATCACTATTCCAATGTCTTGCAGTAATTGTCTGAACGCGACTCTGTTTCGGACTGCCTCTGACTCGACACTTGACTCGACTTGAACTACTGACTTGAACTACGCTTGAGGCGCAGTATTTATTCAGTATGGAATAGTCCATTATTGTTATTATGAGTAAGATCCCATAACACTATCTATGTTCATTATCTATCTATCTATCTATCTATCTATCTATCTATCTATCTATGTTCATTGTCTATCTTTCTATCTACCTATTTAGCTATCTACATCGATCTGTTCCTATCTAGTTATTTTAATTTATTTTTAGCTAGCTATCTATCAAAAATGTAATGGTAATTTACCCATGAACGCGTGGACTCTCAGCTATAAACAGGAGCAGGTACTGCCTTTTGGAGAGGAAAATTTCCAGCAGTCAGCTCTAACAGTCGGACCGAACATTCTTGCTGTAACACACTCGTTTGTATATGTTTGTATTACTGTTTCTATTAATGTATTTGTTTAACTAAATTCTTATATTTGTGTCTTTATTTCTGGCCCTAACAAGGCCACAACATTAAATATGTTCATAATCTATCTATCTAAAGTTTCATTATCTATATTTTCTTAAAAACGACAAACAAGCTACTGGGTTTAAGCTTTTTATTTAATTCTTCTTGTATTTGTTAAGAGGTTCACCCTTTTTTATACAAGTGGACTCGCCCAATGTGTACTTGTACTGTTGCCGGCGAATACCCGGAACTCAGGCAGTGAGACAGTGAAAGAGTGAGAGCGTGAGAGTGTGAGGTAACCGCTTTGTAGGAGTCACAGTTGCGAGCACGTAGACTCAGAAGGAAGTCATACTTCGATACTGAATTTCCCAAACTGTATATATATTATTATTATGGCTACTAACCACATTTCTGGATCTACGAACCGTATTACCAATTGTATTATTACGTCAATACATTTATTTGCTATATTTCATTCCTGCGTTTGTCATTCCTTTGAGACCGGATTTCATCCCGGAAGCCACAACAGTATTCGAACAAGTATTTTTTTCCTGGACACAGAGTGTAGAAAAACACCAATAGGCAGTACCTGCTCCTGTTTATAGCTGAGAGTACATGCGTGCATGGGTAAATTACCATTACATTTTTGATAGATAGATAGATATATAGATAGATAGATAAGGAACAGATCGATGTAGATAGATAAATAGATAGATAAAAAGATAGAGAATGAACAGAGATAGATAAATAAATAATGAACATAGATAGTGTTATGAGATCTTACCCATAATAATAATAATGGACTATTCCATACTTAATAAATACTGCGCCTCAGGAGTAGTTCAAGTCAGTAGAATTTCCCAGACTATATATATATATATATATATATATATATATATATATTGTTGCTACTAACCGCATTTCTGGATCTACTAACCGTATTACCAATTGTATTATTACGTCAATACATTTATTTGCTATATTTCATTCCTGCATTTGTCATTCATTTGAGACCGGATTTCAATCCCGGAAGCCACAACAGTATTCGAACAAGTGTTTTTTCCCTGGACACAGAGTGTAGAAACTCTGTCCAAATGTTCTGTAATTCGAAGCGCTTTCGGCTATTCTCTTAGCCATTATCAAGTATGATTTTATTTTTGCTTTTTAACTGGTTGTATGAATAGTGTGTATGTTTCGAGTGTTATTGGGATGTTTTATTTTCGGAACCCAGTCGGCATATTGCGGGAGTGTTCTTAGTTAATATAACTGAATGTTGGCTTTTTCTTTTTATTATTGAGGCTTCCATTATTTTTATTCTATTTTTACGTGTGGATGAGGTTATTATGTTCGTACTTTCAACTAGTATGTTTCGGATAGAGACTGGTAAGTTTATGTCTGTTTACATGGGTGCTAATGGAGCTGTGGTCTGATAGGTGTAACGTAAGGCGTCTGGATAGGTATGTAGGAGTGTGACCAATGTAATTATTTATGAATTCAGTTTGATCAGGATCACAGATAATCCAGGGGCATTTGATTCATTGTAATTTTGATTTTGCTGTGTGAGGATAAGTTTAACTGTTTTAAATTTTTTGTAATAGATAATTTGAATTTTGTTCGAGTCATTTGGGGTAGTGTATTTTTTTAATGATATTTCGAAGTGAAAATTCATCGGGTTTGTAATTGACGTCCATTTGGTTTTTGTAGAAAATATTTATGTTATTTTTGGCTGTGAGTTCATTATCATTATTATTTACTTTGAGAAGAATCAGTATAATTTGGTGGTCTATAAGATGGTTAGAAAAGCCATTGTTCAATACTGTCTGTTTTGCATCATTGAGTTCTTTAAGCAAGAGCAGACGATATGATGAATTCTGGTGTGCTCCTCTTAGGATGTTTCTATCGCTGCTATTTGGGATCTGATTGGGTATTCACTCTTAAAGTTAAGGTGGCAAGGGTTTCTGATAGTGTTTTTTTTATATACAGCGAGGTGGTAAAAGTGCTGTTGCTGTATCTACGAGTACATCTAAGAATGGGTGCTTATCTTTTGACTAAGTTCGTAGGTAAAGTTAAATGCAGAGTTTTTTTTTTCTCTTTTTCAAATGTGGTCTTGAGCGGATGCATTTCTTTTACGTTATTCGCTAAAATAAAAATATCTTCGTAGCGGACATATATTTTAGATTTACAGACCCGTTTAAATATCATGTTTTTAATACAATATATATATATATATATATATATATAATTATTTATTCGAATATTATAACATAAATATGTTATAAAATCACGGCAAAAATATCCATTTTGTTTCAACACTTCTGGTGTCTTAGCAAGTGATGGTGTTGTCGACACTTGCTAAGACATCAGAAGTGTTGAAAAAAAATGGATATTTTTGTAGTGATTTTATAACATATTTATGTTATAAAATTTGAATAAATAATTGTATTTGCTCTTCTCAGTATTGAACACTCTTTTCAGAATAGTATTTGTTGGTTATTGGAATTTATTCCGTATATACCAATCTTATACGTGGGTACACACACACACATACATACATACATACATATATATATATATATATATATATATATATATATATATATATATATATATAGAGAGAGAGAGAGAGAGAGAGACGTTTCAGGCATGTAGAAAATGTTAATAGATTTAAGTACTGTCACTTAAAACTCATCACACCGTGTAGTGACTCAATTTTGTACATTGATAGGCTCCAGATACTTGAATTCATATCAGTTAACCAATCAGAGACTTCGGACGAGACGCGCAGTGTTCTTTGAATTTTTAAACGATGAAATATCTCCTAATGAGTCTTACATCAGAATATGATTGACAATATTTCCCTGCATAAAAGTGATATTTAACAATTGAAAAAGATATATTAGACAATTAGCTTGAGATGAATGAATGTAAATTTTTAGATTCTCTAGAAGCTTCCTGTTCTATTTTAATTATAATCTATTAATAAATATGATCAGTTCTTATTCGCTAACTAGTTTGTCAGTTAACATTTGGTGTTTATTCGATGGTTTGTTACACAAACGAAACTTAAATTCTCACACTTAATTAATTACTCACGTCTTTTGTATATTTATTCGAGTATATACAATATTACAAAATTTGTTTAGCGATAGAGATGAAATTCCTCTAGCTTATTTACACGCGGCAAAAGAATGACTAAAAAAAGTAGTGAAATTTGTAAATCAATGTTTAAACATTAAATTAATTTTTTGTTTTTACACGCATACACATATATATATATATATATATATATATATATATATATATATATATATAGAGAGAGAGAGAGATAGATAGATAGATAGATAGATAGATAGATAGATAGATAGATAGATAGTGAATTACAATCAAGGAAACCCAAACAAATAACCCCATACAGATAGCCATTTCGTCGTTGGCAAAAAAAAAAAAAAATCTAGACTTTTCAATGCAAATACATTTGTTAAAATAAGGATTTTATTTTAACAAATGGGGTAATTTGATTTACTTTTATTTTCCATAATAAAATGGCTTAGGGGTAAAATCTCCGACGGATACCAAATCAGTCGCGTTTCGATCCCGGCTCGAAGCAATCGGATAAACTGAACTGAATTGCTGAACTGTGAAACAGCGAAACAGTATATATATATATATATATATATATATATATATATATATATATATGGGGGAGAGAGTAAGAGGGAGATAGTGAGAGAGATCTAGACCTGGTTATCTCTCTATCAATCTTTCTGTTATGTAATACGTGGCATGTGAGAAATTTCATAGTAAATTTAAATTTGGTTCTTTTAAAAAGAAAAAGAAAAGAAGGAATTTTACCAATACTAGATATTACTAGCATGTGGGCTAACTGGTCCTCCACTCACCAAACAGATTTGCCGCGGCCATCTATGCTATCTACCAGTATATGTTCATTACCTATCTATCAGTAGAATAACGAGTCTGTGAAAAGGAAAAAAATCTTCAAACACATTTCTACAAACTTAAATAACTTTATTATTGAGTATAACATTAATATTTGCTTTCTTTCAAGCTAAAATAAGTAAGTTATAAATTTCCTCGTTGTTTATTTTGCAACACAAGAAGGAATTGTGTTAGTATAAGATGAATATTATGTATAAAGTTATCACGGGAACATCAACAGTTTACGTTATTTTATGTATCCGTGGTGTAAATTTAACAGCGGTAGACTGGTCAGATACGTATCAATGCAAACATTCCTACGATTTGTTTATGTGATGTTTGAGTATTTTCGTAATGTAAACTGTGCAAACTTGATTATTGTTGAGGGGTTCTCCCCTTTTTACACAAATGGACTCACCCAGTATATACATATACTACGGCTACGTGAAGACCCGAGAGAGCAAGACCGAGTCGAGTCGAGTCCAGAGTGACAGAGTAAAAGGTTGTAGGTAACCGGAAGAGTGAGGGTGAGGTAACAGCGTTGTAGGAGTCACAGTGAGCGAGCACGTAGACTCAGTAAGAAGTCATACAGTGATACTTCAATACCAAAGACTGTATAGATATTTTTCCACTAACCCGTATTCCTGGAACTACTAACCTGCTTTACCAGTTTGTATCATTACGTTAATACATTATTTTCATATATTAATTCCAGGCGTTTGTTATTTATTGGTACCGGATTTCAACCCGGAATCCACAGCAATTATGAAAATACTTTAAAAGTAAGAAATAATTTTTACAAATGAAAATTAATACTCAATGACTTAATTTGAGTATGTGAAAATTTGAGTAATCAGTATTATTTACATCCCGGTTGAAGATATATTGAAAAACTAGTCTATCAACTTACAATTTATTCATAAGAAAGATCGAATCACGGGAAATTAAAAGTTAGATTTATTAAACGCAGAAGCTTTATTGGTTAATACATATATTTCCCAATTTTTGATATCGATTTTTAGGAGGGAAAAGCTTTTAAACATTTTCTGGATATGAGATTTCATTTTTAGCATACAACGAGAAATGATTGTCTCAGTTGTTGTGCGTTTGAGACAACCTCTATGATTAGTTAATAAATGGTCATGTGGGAATTGGAATTTGACGTTCATGTGACCTTATTTTTTAATAGAATTGAGATTTTATGTGATAATACTTAATACTGTTGTTTTTTTTTACAATTATTTACCTTGTTCTACATAGCTATCTATCTAGACCTGTTCATTATCTGTCTAGCTATCTGTCTATCTATAAATCTAGATAGATAGATAGATAGAAAGATCTGTTCATTATCTAACGCTTTCGATCTCATTATTGTCTGTCTGTTTCCCTATCTATGTTCATTATTTATCTATCTATCTATCTCTCTCTCTCTTTATATATATATATATATATATATATATATATAAGAGAGTGAGAAAGAGAGAGAAGATCTGTTCATTATCTATCTCTTTCGATGTCTTTATCTATCTATTTATCTATCTATCTATCTTTCTATCTATATTTATTCATTATCTAACTCTTTCGATTTCTTTATTATCTATCTATCCCTATTCACTATCCATCTCTTTCGATCTATATTCATTATCTATCTATCTATCTATCTATCTATCTATCTATCTATCTATCTATCTATCTATCTATTCCATCTGTTCTATATCATCTATCTATCTATCTATCTATCTATCTATCTATCTATCTATTCCACTCTGTTCTCTATCTATCTATCTATCTATCTATCTATCTATCTATCTATCTATCTATCTATTCCACCCTGTTCTCTATCTATCTATCTATCTATCTATCTATCTATCTATCTATCTATCTATCTATCTATCTATTCCACCCTGTTATCTATCTATCTATCTATCTATCTATCTATCTATCTCATCCTATTCATCTATCTATCTATCTATCTATCTATCTATCTATCTATCTATCTATCTATCTATCTATCTATCTATCTATGTATATTCATTATCTACGCCTTTCGATCTATCTATCAATCTATTAGAGTTACAAAAG